GAAAAAGAAAACACACACACAAACTAATTCACCAAGATACACGTCAGGGAGCCCTTTCCCCACCCCTCAGCCACTCCTGCCCATCCTTACACACGTCTTCCGTTTTTATGTTCAAGTTTGAGGGGAAAGAATAGCTTAGACGGTAGTGTCAAAAAGGTCTTCTTCCTAAGATCAGAATCTATTGATGGACTGAATGGGCCACTAGGCTGTGGTTCTTGGGAGGGGCTCGGGAGAGAGGCAATGCCTGGCTTGTTTTCGAACCATTTCAGTAATGATGATCCCACCGGTGGGTTGAGGCCAGTGGGCCAGTTTTTGAAGGGGATCAAGGGTGGAGAAGTGTCCACGGGGACCTGAGCAAAGGGCAGGGTTATGGTCCCCCACAAGAGGCCGATGAATGAACTGGTGGATGCTTCAGAGGTGTGAAAATTCAGCTTCTCTGTCTCCAGAAAATAGGGGAGGCTGTCTTCTTTTCAACCTTTGTCATTCCCCTTCTATTCTCTGTGACATTCATTCAGCTGCCAAGAGCGTTTGGCAAGGTTTGGGCCAGCGAGCACACTTCCAGTGACCGCTAACCTTGGTATGTCCTGACACTTATGATGAGTGTCTGCAGGACACAGAAGGCAGGCAGCCTGCTATGTCAGGCTTTCATTATGGACTGCAGAGACTAGGGACAGCCAGTTTAATAAAACAAATCATCCTTGAAGGTAAAGCAACTGGGAAGAGGAGGAGGAAGACGGGAGGGGGATGTCTTTGCCACTCAGTCCGATGAGAGAGAGGGAGAGACAGAGAGGAGGGAGGAAGGAAAAGAGGGAGGGAGGGAGGGTGGGAGGGAGGGTGGGAGGGAGGGAGGGAGGAACAAGCAGCAGATAGCAGCGAAACATCCACTCATCCACCCCACTGCATGCGTGTGCTGCCCAGCTGTGGACCCAGCAGATGTGAACTCCTTCTCCCATCCTCCTGAAACCCAGGAGCCACTGGCTCACTCTGATCAATAAGCAAGAGCCAATCATCAGGATGGAATTGATAGATGCTTGTTGGCCAGCTCCCTTTAGAGTGACCACTGTATTCAAGTACCTCATTACCAGTGTGTTCTCTAAATGTCAAGGCAAGCCCGTTTGGGGGTGAGGCTCCTCGGCCAGGATGCCTTTTTATCAAAGCAAAGTTTCCATTCTCCCCTCCTGAAGAACTCCTGGCCAAGCAGCTCCCACAATAGCCTCCTCACTCTGCCAAAGACTTTGGAAGCCTTTTGTTTTTCCCCTGTGGCATGTCCAAAGGCCTGGCCTCCCCCCTCCCCCGCCCCCAGCAGCCTGCATTGTCTTGCATTCCAGTGACTTGATTGACTGTTGCACCTGATGCTGAGGAGAGAGACTGGAGGGTTCATTGTAGAGATTGTTGGGTTCTATTAAAAGAAACCTAGATAAGGGATTACTTGTCGCTAAGGGCTTCTCTGCAGATGTTTATTAGTGATTGGAAAGCCATTAGTTGTGAGGAGATGCACAAAATATGGGCAATATCACATTCCTAATCCTGAACCCCAATGTCCCCCCAAATATCAGGAAGATGTTAGTTTATTCCACAAATAAAGGTGGAGAAAGGTTCCGATCAGAGAGCCAAGGCTCCCTGTTTCCGTGGGTGAGGTCTCTACCTGTGGGTGGAATCCCCCGGCACTCTCTGAGAATAGCAGTTGCTAACCCACACTAGCCCTGGAGCCACCAACAAAAGAGAGCTGCTCCGGTACCAGAGGATCTCCAAGAAACCTTTCACCCAGCGCAGTCCTGCGTGCACACTGCCCAGAGCAGGCAGTAAGTTAGCAAGTTGCTTCATTTGTGCATGTGAAAGGTACCCATTCCCAATAACCAGCCAACAACTCACTATCTGTGCCCACTTTTGTTTACATTAAAGTCACAGGCTCCCTGGGGATGGTTTTCTGAAGTTGTAGACAAACAGGAATCTGTTGCCTACAGTGAGTCAACCCGCCTTGATAAAATCATTAAAGCCAGGCTAGGGGTACAGGTCTGCCATCGCAGCACCCAGGAAGGGAGGAGGCAGGAGGATCTGAAGGTCAAGACCATCTTCTTGGACTATTTGCTGCGTTCATGGCCATGCAGAGCCAAAAGATGAAGTTTTAGCATCCAGCATGTTCTAGTAGAAAGATGCCTTGGCTCGCACAGTTGACGAGCATCTTTATCCCATGATTACTCTATCTCGGAAAATCTCCTAGGTTTTTTTTTTTTAACCTATAAAATGATAGTTTCCGAGACCCATATTGCTGAAAATGTTCATAAAGTTGTTTCTTTTTTGGTCTTGATAGTGATAATGATGATCAAACCCAGCACCTCGCACAGGCCAGGAAATACTGTAGCATGGAGCTGTACTCAGCCCTGGGCTTCCTTTCCTCAAAGCACTGGGCGGGGAGGGAGGGGGCGGGATGTCAGGAGACTGCAGAGCATTATGGGAGAAAGCAGAGAGGGGAGGTCTTCTTGTTAATGACAACAGTGTTCGCGGAATAGTTATAAAAAGGCCTGCCACTGACCGTGTAGGTGAAGGAAGAGAGACCTGGGCTCCTCAGGCAAAGACACCTTGTGATGAGGACGCTGAAACCAGTTACAAGGAAGTGAAAAGCCAGACACAATACAAAATCTGTCACAGGCCGGCTGGTGGGATGAGCTCAAGAAATGGATGTTTAAAACAGACCACTAATCCAGCAGGTCTCAACCTATGGGTCGTGATCCCAAAAAGAACATGGGAAAGGAGAAATATTTACATTATGATTCATAACAGTAGTAAAATTACTGTTACGAAGTAGCAAGGAAAGTAATTTTGTGGTTGGGGGGTCACCCCGACATGAGGAACTGTACTAAAGGGTCTCAGCCTTAGGAAGGTTGAGAACCACTGCTCTAAGCTAAGGCTCACGGGCACTGAGAAAGTGAGTACAGACTTGGCTCCATCTCTGAAGTCCCGCTGTCCTCTCAAAGTCCTTAAATCACCCTCCCTCCTCCAGGGCTTGTGCTTTCCTCGAGGTACCCAGACAGCTTTGCTCCCAACAGTTTTCACAAGGCCCGTGTCCTTGCTCCTGACTGTGTGTGCGTTGGGGGTGGGGGATGGGAGTCCTTGGAGCGGAGGGGACTTCGGGCTTACCCTCTTTCTCTAGAGCTCATACCTGTGTCTCTCAGCTTCTCTCTCCTGGAGTCCTGGGTTTGTTGTCTGAGAAACACAATTTTCCATGGAGGTTCTGTTGCCAGCAGCCAGTGCGAGCACATTGCTTGGCACCAGTGATCTTTGCTCCTGTAGTATTTGGCTGCAGACCTGTGCCCCAGCCATGTGTCCTCTCTCAGTAAGGCCCATTTGCTATGACTTGTCACTGGGTGGGAACGCGATGCTCCCTCCAGGAAATCCGCGAGTGTGCAGGTGCTTCCGTGGGAATCTGTGGGGGAGCTGTGGGAGTTCTTAGCAGACTGTTGTTTGCCCAGCCAGGGAGCAGGAGGTCCTCCGTGTTCTTCCAGTCAGCTCTGTGCTCTGTCCTGACAGACCAGGGGAAACGCCTTTGGGAGAGATTGCTCAGTACTCTCCTCTTTATTTCTGAGACGGGTCTCAGTGTCGCTCTGGCTGGCCTGGAACTCACAGAGATCCAAGTGCTGGGTGGGATTAAAGATGTGGGACACTATAGTTGGTGCTTTCCTTTTCTAGACTCCATGTTGGGAGTGTTTCACTTTTTTTTTCTGGGAAATTACTAGATTTCCCTAAAAAACATTTGACTTGCTATTGGAAGCAATGCGCTACTTTGTCCAATTTGAAACTTGAAATCCAGGGACATCCAGTGATTTTTAGTTTTTTGTGTCATCTGCCATCCATATATGAATGTTAATACATGTATGACCCATGTACATGCCCATTACACTTGTTGAGAAAAGACCAAGAGGAAGGTATTGAAGGTGCTTATAGGACAATGATCTCCTTGTTGTTTCAGTAACTGGCATTTCTGAACTGTGGTGAAGGTTTTTCGTGGTATATCTATGAGGGCTCACTAATATGTACTGGAAAAATTATGACTTCATGTAATTATTTTGTGAATCCATCATGTTCTTCTGTGAGTTACTGTTGAAGAATATTAAGTGTTCCTTTTCACAATCAAGAGCTCAGACTGTCCAATCAATGTGTAAGAGATACAGACAGAAAGCTCACATATACTCATTTCTGTGGAAGCAAAGGCGTGACAAAGAGAAATTCCAAAAAGATTTGGGGAATGATAATCTTGGGATGACCTTGAGTGACCCTTTGGATCTGTCCCTGCCTTAGTTTTCGCGGTGTATAATTGAGATAGCGTCTTACACTGAGGTTGGAAGAAGGGAATGGTGTTTAGTATGAGATGTAGCATGGTGCCTCTCACAACTAACACCTGGTAAGTATTAGTTTGTACAACAGTAACCAGTTACACAACCCACTGTCTAAGGAACAAGTCCAAGCAAAACATAGGAATTTGGAGATCACATCTCAGGACTTTGTGTTGTGATCTTACCATTTATGGTACTGTCTTCAGAGTTTCTTCATTGACAATAGGCCTTTAGTTTACATAGATGCCCAGCATTTATTATTCAACTGTGAGAACACATTTTTTTCTTTCATAATGGAAGTCAAAAGGAGAAAGGAAAAAAATTCCGAAAAAGGAGTTGGCAAGTTTGTTCTAGAGTGATCTTCCCACCTCCATGAGGCTGTGGGCCTCCTCTCTCTGCAGTGGTGTTCACAGTGACGCCCTGGTGCTGGTGGGCCTGTGTCTATCCTCAGCACAAGGCTCTCTCCCGAAATCCGTGGAGCAGCGCCGTCTATCACAATGCTGCTATATATAACAACCCTGCACAAGAGAATAGAGGCTGGCCATTTTTAGAACATGCAGGTGCCGTCTAAAGCCCCTCTCTGAGGGCACGGAGTTAGCTCAGTTTCCTTTGAAGAACTGCAGACTTGAAACTGAAAACTTTATTAATACCGTGCTCTCCCTGTATCAGCAGGTTCCAGAGAGGTTCCTGGAAGTTGCGCAGATCACATTACGGGAGTTTTTCAATGCCATCATCGCAGGCAAAGATGTTGACCCTTCCTGGAAGAAGGCCATATACAAGGTCATCTGCAAGCTGGATAGTGAAGTTCCTGAGATTTTCAAATCCCCGAACTGCCTCCAAGAACTCCTTCACGAGTAGAGATTGCAACAACTCTTTTGAATGTATGAATAGAAGAAGTCCCCCTTGGATGTCTAACTTCTGTGTGTCTAGATTTTTATTTCCTATCTGTGTGTGGGGGAGGCATGGGTGTGTCGTGATATCAGCTGGTGGTTCCTGCTCATCCCCTCTGGGTTGTTTTAATTTTCCCCACTACAGGGGGATGGGTACCTTCCTTCTTCGCCTTTAGTTACTTTTGCCCAAGGCCCTTAATATTTGGAGACTTGAGGTTGGGTTGATTTTCAGGAAAAGGGAATGTCAGCCTGTGTAAAGTCTACAAGAGCCAAGGACACTCTGCTCACCTGGAAGCCTATTGTAAAAGGCCACCAGCAGAGCAGAACCCTGACTAGGACACAGCACACACCCAGACCGCCCCCCCCACCCCTACCCTGTGCCGTGTCTCTTGTTTCTAGGGTTAAGAAGTTCTGAGAGAACTCAAGGAAAGCACTTCACACACTGGAATACCCTGTTTAATTTGAGCCTCATAAGTAACTTTTTCTTACATGTTTTCACAGATGCCAGCGGCAGCTGGGCAGCTCACACTCAAAAGTACCCTCAAAGGACAGATGTTTAGAATGGTCATCATCACCAAGTCTTTTCTAAGAGAAATGGCATACACCCCAGACTAAATTTTTACAAAACCGAGTCTCTGGAGATGAGACTGGAAATCTGTGCGGGTGGACCAGCTGTCCCTGTAAACTTTGTAACGGGCTCTTGGTGGGACATGTGCTCGGGACGTGTGCTCAGAGGTGTTGACTTAGAGAAGACCCTGTACTTTGTCTTCATTTCCTATTTATTTTGCTTCAGGTATTAAAAGGCATGTACCTTTCACATGTATTCCTTTGCTCAACTTCATATGCATTGCTGTTGCTGTTTAACCCTTTTTGTTTCTCTCCTAAAACACTAATTCTGGATACCTTTCTATAGTAAGGAATTCAGAAATGCCACTGGCCATGAAATCCTTGCCTACTCTTGGAGCGTGTTGACAGTTGCTGGTGGACCCGACCTTCACATTGTGTGAGGACACCACCCAGGAATTGCTCCTTTACATGAGTATGCCAGGATGGCCGTCTCTCTCTTCACTTTGGGTATAATATCTTAAAGCGACAGATAATGTTGACCAAAGTGTGAGAAGAATACAATAGGTTAGTTTGGGGTTACCTAAGAAGACACAATTTCAGCATACTGAGAAAGCTAGCTGCTATTTTCCCCATTCTCAAATGGCTCCCCCGCCCCATTTTTGATGACATACCATGCCCTATGCTTGCATTTAAAATGCTGGGTACCATTCACACTTGCTTTCTTTGCTGGATTTTTGTGTACAGATGCTGTGAACAGCACTGTCCACTCTAATAGTGTGGTCCAGGCCCCTTCTTCCCCTTAGATAATTTGATAGACAGACTCTAAAAGCAACACAGTAACAGATCTGGCATTTAAAACATAAAGAACAGAAATGCCGTTTTTCATTAATTTTTTTTAAAGTAAAAATCAGCATTTGACTTTGGAGGATGCAGGTCAGCCCTTGTGCCTGTCTAGCTGGCTGGATCGCTGTAATTCAACATCATTTATAAATTCTGCTGATGGACAGGAATGTACGAACACAATTATTGTCAGCACAAAGCCTGAAAACCTGCTGACTTTAAGCTAAACAGTGGAGCTCTGCGAGGCCCGGCATCTTCCAGGAGGCCAGAAGGCCCTAGCAATGAGGACAGAGCATGAACAATTATGGCCAATGCTATTCATTCACTACAATGGCATCGCCTAGTGCTCACGCACCCAGAGAGGCATATAAAATTGTTAAGAGTGTATTGCTTATTTTTCTGGGTGTCTTTAGAAACAAGAAGCCCATGTAACCAACCATACCACTAAAATAAATGCTAAAAGTCAAACGACAGAATCAGGAACCCAGTCAGTAAAAATTATGGAAGTCTTTGGCTTGCTTTGTCTGGAAGGTTCCTGCAAGGGCCCAGCAGGGTCCTGGCTGTTCCGAGTCACAGGCCAGTCGGATCCCCACCATGTCACCCTTCGCAAGGTCAAAGGCAAAGCTGCTGGGTAGTCAGCTGGGTAGACAGATTTCTAGGTATCTTCACAATCTGGGGCAAATGAATATTGATTCTAGACTTGGATTTTTAAAATATTGTTTTCTTCTGCCTTTCTAATTGAAATAAGCAAATTTAGCAAAAACAATGTGTATGTTCTGCTGACTGTTGGTGCCCTTATGTACCTAGACTCCCCTCAGTGTTCATTACGGCTGGAGGTGACTTCACACTGGCAGTCTGAGGACAGACTCAGCCCTATATTGGAAGCAGGTGTCCGTGACTTTGCATTGAGGTGGTTGCTCCCAATACAGCCATCAGGCCATGCATCCTCCAGTACAGCGGTAAAATCACACAAGCCTGTCTCCAATGCTCCTATCAAGCAGTTAGTCTTTAAATAAAACAATAACAGTAACAAAACCTACTACCTTTCAAATCTTGACTCAGCTCTCACCAAGTGAAACTTTTCTTTTTTGTGCACAGGAGAAAGTTGACTTTTCACAGTGGGAGAGTGGGGACCAACTCTAAAGTCTGTTGCAATTCCATATCTTCACGTCTTTTATGCTAACCCTATATTATTTTTGCGCGTACACTCAAGGTGATAAGTCTGTGCCTAGATCTAAAATGCACCAGCGCGGGGATTTTTCAGAATCCTTCAGAATACCAGTTCTTTCCCCACCAGTACAACTGTTCTTGTGCCTTCTGTGGCTCTCTGTCTCATCTCTTTTTACTTTATTTCCAGTACTGCAGCTGCAATAAACACTACATTTTTTCCTGGCTGTTTGACATAATGTTGATAGCTATGCATATTTTGCGTCTTTTTAAAATGAAGCGGGAGAATAATGTTTTTGAAGAAGAGAAATTTTTAGAACAGTTTGATACACCGCAAATTATTTTTTTCCTCAATTGTTTGAGCAGCATTCGAGTTTTGGAGATTCTTGTAGAAGCCAGTTTTTTTTTGTTTTTTTTTTTTTTTTTTTTTTGTAACTGTGGTGTAACTCTTGTTTTTCTTAGCCTAATGAGAAGCACTATAGAAGCAATATTTCATACCATGTGCAATGTGTGTGCGGAGGTGTGGGTGCAAACACACGGGCACACACATGTAAAAATATACATATGTATGCGTGTGAGGTGGAAAGCTTACCTTTCCCTATCTAGACTTCAGAGCTTATTTCTGGCATTTGTTATGTTTCGTGAGAAGAATGTTCTATTTGCAACAACACAACATTGACTTCTTACCGTCTCTCTGGCTGTTCAATGGAGATGTTTTGCATTAAATGGTAAAAATATGTGGAAGATGTTAGGATGTAGTAATTACTTCAGTAACTGTTCTCCCCCATATTCCTGAAGTTTGCTTTGTGCCTCCGAGTGTTACTTAATTGAAGTGTTTTATGTTTGAAGAAATCCTTGTTACTGTGCTAGGAATATGGGTGAATATCATTTAAAAAAAATTTTAAAATGTCAAAACAGAAACACTAAAGCAAAGGGGAACTTTTATAAGGAAATGTAAATATTTAACCTCATGGCCGTTGTTCCGTAAGACATGAGATTTTAATAAATACCTACAGTATCACAGCATCTGTTGAATTTATTAGGGACACTACAGTAACTACAGGCAGTTGAAAGCATTCTCAAAAACCCTGTTCTCTACTTGCAAAACACAATAGTCTCTATCAGATGTCAAAGGCAAGGGTAATGGCGTCTCTGTAAATCTGTGACATTTCTTTTCTGTGTACATGAAGACATTTAGTAAGTTGTCCCCCACATCCACACACACATGCAGGTTAATATCGACTACTTACAGAGTTTCGGGAGGGAACTAAACATAGACTGCACCCCCAAAGTGACCATAAATCAATCAAAGAGCAGTTTGCGGTTTGCCGATGTTCCCTGGAGCAGCAACGTGTGTACGGACACGAACACCGTTGCTGTGTATGTTACAGAGTATTCCTGGTGTGAACAGCACAACCGTTTCCTCCTGGTGTAAACTCTGTGTCTGTAGATTACAGCCCTGTTTTCAAAGGCTCCCCTTGGAAAACACAATGGTTGGTACGTGCGCCACCGCATCGCACTTCCGTGTCACGTGCGAGGTAGCGCACCTTTGCCTCTGTGGCGCAGCTGGTTTCAAACCACCTAAAAAGTAAAACTAAAATTTTCATCCTCAGAGCTGGGGTTCACGGTGGTGTTTAATCTCCGCGTCCTTTTGAAGGACCCTTCTAAGACTATGTGGAAGCTCGTGGACTTTGAGTCTTCTCGACTGAGCTCGCTCTCAAATCAGACACCCTCCTGGTGTGCACACAACGCGAACAGGCAGGCAAATGGCAGGCCTGCCTTTGTGGAAATGGATTTACTAGATATTTTTTTTAACAACAAATTCCTCTGCGTATGAGGGAATAAAGCATTTTAAAATTGTATATTGCCACTTCAAATTTAGACTTAGGAAAAATGATGTATTTGGAGTTGGTCTCAGCTCCCAAGAAGGGTCAAAGGTCACAGCTTCCCCCAACATTGTCCCAGCCATTTCTCATGTGTATATAGTATAAACCGTGACAAACACTGCCTTTATATGATTTAGCAATATGTTGTAAATAGCATTATGAAGCTCTTTTTGTAATAAAGACCCTTTGGTTTGAATATAGTACAATAACTGAACTGATAAAGTCATTTTTGATTTTTTTTTTAGCTAGAGGCAATTTCAATTGTGCATTTTGTTATTGTCTATTGTTCTGAAGACTGCATAATTTATTGGTTTAATTTATCCTAATTTATTTGATGAAGGTGTACAATTTTGTATTACCAAGGATGTACTGTAATATTAATTGATAGGATAAAACAGTGAGACTCCCTGTCCATCTTCAAAAGAAAAAAAAGGTGCCGTAGACAATTGATTTTAAAGTAAAAAGTAAATCAATTTAGTTTGGCAGCTACTAAATTTTAAAACAAGGAAAAAAAAGGACAATGTTGTCATGGGGAGGGCGGGGAGGGTTTCCGTTGTGTGTTTGAAGCTTTTCTATATTCTCCGAACTTGGACCGTTTGCTTTGTACCACTAAAGGGTGCAGTAGTCAACTGCCTTGTGTGCCTTCCATCCTCTCCTGAACTGAATGTATGTGCAGTATATATGCAAGCTTGTGCAAAATAAAATATACATTACAAGCTCATGTCATGTGATTTTTTTTTTTTTCTGAAAACGTGTGACATTTTGTTTTTGGACCTCGGAGGCTTCCATCTGACTGTTAACAAGTCGTAGCTTTCCTTCCATTGCTGTTTTCGCTCATGCAGCCCAGCATTCCTCCAGACCATGCCTGCTGGAATGGCTTGTTTTTTTAGAACCTCTCACTTGGATTTAACTTTGGTACCCCTCAACTTGAGGGAAGAGGAAAAAGTAGTTCACCCTGGGGAGGTGACTTCTGGGTAAACACTTGCTGTGTGAGTGACAGGACCTGAGATGGTGGAGGCCCAGAACTCAGCTATAGCCACATATAAAGCACATATAAAGCAGGAGTCTTTAATCCCAGCACTCTTAGAGTGAAATATTGGAAGGGTGAAGGCAGGAGCCTCTGGGAAGCTTGTAAGCCAGCTAGCCTGACAATGAAGACCAGATAGATTGAGGATTAAGGCCAGCTAGTACTGGGGTACACAGACCAGATAGTCTACGGGTACTCAGAGGCAAACAAGACCTGGTCTCAAACAAAATGAAAAATAAGGACCTGTACCTGAAGTTGTCCTCTGAGCTACACGCAAGTTTGCCCTTTGACCTCTATGCGTGTGTGCATACTTAACACACATGAAAACACACACACAAAGATTTAAGTTGAAGTGTATAGAAACCCTTTAAGTTGGCAATTGCTACAGTTAAACCTGAGAATCACCACGATTATCCGATTACAGTGAGCTCTCTTCAGTACTGACCAGGAAGATGAACACCGCCAGGTCCATACCTGGGATTCCCTGAGAAATGGCCCCCGTTTTAGGTCAGTCGGATGCTTGTAAAAGCAAATTCCCACAAGGCTATGGGACTTCCTGCCTTCGTCCAATCAGGGGTAAGCATATATCCCAACCTATTTCCTGCCAATGTATCTTGTGTCTTCTGCCTCGGTGTTATCAAGCACGTCCTGCGCAGGTGGGGCAGCCAACCTTGTTGACTGAATTGAAAACACGAGACTGCAGCCCAGCATTCCAGGAAGTCATCTGTCCTTGGGTGAGGGGGGCTTCCAAGTTAACCTTAGCCCTTACCCTGCTGACGTCAATTAGAAATAGAAAAGATGGTCTTCACGGTCACAGAATAACAAGTTTTTAAGCACGGGGTGCACGTGCTTATGTTAGTCCGACTGTTAAAGGGAGGAAAACTCCAACAGCTTCCTAAAATGTTCCTTCAGACATTATTGGCAGCATTTCTCCTGCTGCTGTGTGTGGCACAGGGCTTTAGAAGATGGCATGTGTTAACTTTGCTTTTAAAAACAGTATCATACACTTGTTTGGCTTGGACGCAGTTTGAGGATGCTCAACAAAGTTTCAGGTACCAAGAGTATGGCAGTAAGAAGGGAAGGATCTTTAAGAGATGGGACGCCATAGAAGGCCACTAGGTCATGGGGGCTGGGACGGGGAACCTTCATCATAGGAAGGGCGTAATGCAGGGGCCCTGGTAAGTTCCTGCCCTACCTTATTAGAAAGGGCTCTTCGCATTGTGTTCCCTCCGTTCACATTGAAGGCTTTGCTGGGGTGAACCAGTGGCTGGAACTACCCAATTTGTTCAAAATCATGAATTAAATAAACCCCTTTGTATCTTAATGAAATTTCTGGCCTCTGGTATTTGCTACAACAACTAAAAGTAGCCTAGATCTTTCTTTATCAAGAATCAGAAGAATTAGCCTGAGGCCAACTAGTGTCTCCTCTCCTTCCCTTACTGCTTGGCTCATTACTACAGACCACCTCTGCCCCTCGGGTCTCTCTTACTTTTGCTTCAATCAAGACAATTCCATCTTATTTTTACAATTTCATTGGCACAGTTGTACAAGGTTACGTGCAGTCAATGTGATATTATAACTTTATCCAAACAATAATAGTGGTTTTCTTCTTTGGGTTCTTTCTTGACAGCACAAACTTATAGTTTTCCTAGCTAAAGTGTGCAAAAGGGCGAGCCTTTGTTTCTCCTGCCAAAATATTCATCCCCAGAACAGAGCAAATAGAATCACTCATCTCCCACCCGCTCTTCTTAGAAGGAAGCTCAGAGTCATATAGCAAGCTTCCACTGCCATACGTGGAGCTGTCCAGATAATCCACAGTTGCTCAAGCAAGTGAGAGCCGGCAGAAATGCTTTCTGGCACAGGAGTTAATTGAAGCAATGCTTCTGGGGCTACACGGTTCTGGGGTTGAGAGCTCTTGCAAAGAACCTACATTCGGTTCTAAGCATCCATGCTGGATGGCTCACAACCACCTGTAATTCCAACTCCTAGGGATCTGATGCCTCCCTTCTGGCCACCTAAGGTACTGCAGGCACATGAAGTGCATACGCATAATTAAAAACAATGAAAATTTCTGGCTGATGGTGGCACATGCCTTTAATCCCAGCACTCAGGAGGCAGAGGCAGGCCAATATCTGTGAGTTGGAGGCCATACTGGTCTACAAGAGCTAGTTCCAGGACAGGCTCCAAAGCTATGGAGAAACCCTGTCTTGAAAAACAAACAAACAAACAAAACAATAAAAATAAATCTAAAGAACTGGTCTCAAAGTTTTCCTGTGATGACCAATTGTCTGCTGGCATTATCTTAGAATCAAGCAGACCACTGTCCCCAACCCTGATATAACCCTTCAGACCCGAACTTCACAGCACACATTTCTTGAGGGACGCTAGGACCCAGTTCCTACTGGAGTACACATGATTGACAAGCTGGTAAAAATATAATCTATTCATTTTAAAATTTACAAGTTTTCCATGCAAGTGTGTCCAGCCTTCCCATGACTAAGGATGTCTTCAACTGATGCCCAACACAGACCCTAAACTCACTTTAAACGTTATGAGATTTTTTTTCTTAGTGATTATTTTTTCAGCAACTTGTGAACTCTCCAGATGACATTGATGTTTGGTGATGTCAAAGGGTTGGGCATACCTTCAAGCTATCAATTAAAATTCCACATATATTTGTAGAGGCTTCACCAACGCACAGCTGAGCAGGACATAGATATCCCAAATCAGAGTCCCATGAACCTATCTAACTGCACATGCCTGTGCTCCTGTGTGGAGACTGATTTTACATAGATACATACCAACACGTTCAGACAGTTGGAAGCAGTGGGGAGACTGAGCGGAAAGGTGACCAACAGGAAAACAGAATGGGGGAAAGCGAAGGTAAAGAAGACAGGAGATGGACCCAAGGTCCAGCTCATTCAGAAATAAGTTCTCTTCATGATGTCCAGCACTGTGCATGACGAATACAGACTGTTTTTTTTTAAGTGTTTTAAAGTCTTTGGTAATCTAAAGAAAATGCCGTACATTAGGGTCTACAGATATTTTGTTTCTCTGAGAAAGAGCCTCCCTAGGGAAGTAGCCCAGGTTGGCTTTGAATTCACAGCCTAACTCAAGCCTTCCCCGTGTCTGAGATTCTTGGTGTGCTGTGAGCAATCACATTCACACTCAATCATAAAATGCAAGGGAAGCATGTCTAAAAGCATGCTGGTAACTATGAGAATTATAAAATGTACAAAAGACATACATCACCAGGAGGGAGAAATGCCCTGGGGCCAAAACCCACTGGTTACTTTTGAAACGAAAATTCAATTCAATTTGAGGGAAACCCTGCCTGCCTACTTTCCCTCAATTCCAACCCTCCAGCGTCCCAGGAGAGCTAGGTTAGATAGCCTTCAAAGCTAGATAGGGTGGTTAGAGTCCTATACAGTCAGTTTGCTGGCTTCCACCAAAGCACTCATAGGCACAGAAAAAAAAACCATACTTTTTTCTTTATAACGTTTTTGTTTCTCATGAGAAATTTAGGCCAAAGAGCAAGCAAGGCAAGAGCAAATTTCCGAAGGTGGCTAAGTGTGGCTGGACCTGTCTCTGTGTCTGACTATCCTCCCTTCAGTAAACATCTTGGCCCACTGCCAAGCACTGGGTGCTAGCGTTTCCTGCCCGCCCCCCACACAAACAGGGACAGACTGTTTAGTAAAGCAAGAGTTAAGAGATCAAGGACTCTGCCTCTCTTGCCATCAGTCTACTGCTGAGATGTGACAGGCACAAATAAAGGCTTGCTGTCTTCACACGAGGTCCCAAGTCTCCTGCCTGAGTGGCAACGAACTGGATAGGCTTCTCCCACCCACTTAAGGCTGATTGGTCTTAATTGCTAGAGGCTGTACCTTGTACCTTGCCCAGCCTCCACCTCCAGCTTTTCTTCTCACTCCCCCAGAACTGATTTCCTCAATGTCTCTAGTCATGGACCTGTCAGGATGAGACCCCTTCGCCACCAGTCAGGAGTAACAATTAGCAGCAAAGAAGTGTGTGTGTGTGTGTGTGTAAATATGCATGTAAATGCACGTGAGTGTGTGCATGTGCATGCGTGTGTGCATTCACTTTTGTATGTACATGTGTGTGTGAATGTGTGCAGTGGATTCACACATTTGTATGTACATGTGTGTGAATGGGTGCAGTGGATTCACACGTTTGTATGTACATGTGTGTGTGAATGTGTGCAGTGGATTCACACATTTGTATGTACATGTGTGTGTGAATGTCTGCAGTGGATTCACACGTTTGTATGTACATGTGTGTGTGAATGTGTGCAGTGGATTCACACGTTTGTATGTACATGTGTGTGTGTGTGAATGTGTGCAGTGGATTCACACGTTTGTGTGCAGAGGTCAGAGGAGGAGGGACATCAGGTGTCCTGCTCTCTCACCCTCTACCTTGATTCCCTTGAGTCGGGGTCTCTCACTGAACCTGGAACAAGGATGGGGCCGGCAAGCTCCTGGGGTTCCAGGGGCACAGTGCCATGTGCATTGACACAGCAGGCTTCACAGGGTGCTAGAACGGGAATTCGGGTCATCATGAATGATGGCTCTTACTCTTATTCATGGAGCCATCTCTCCAGTCCCAGCATTAGGCTAAGTCTCAGGGGATTGTTCCAGAACTCTAGAGCAATGCCTTATTGATTCTGGGACTCTCAGGTCAAACCTCTTAACAGAACCATTTTCATTATCATACCAAAGAACTTAAAAAGTTCTCTGGTAAAGCACTTCTCTTGCTCGAAATAAGGACCTCCTGGATAACATAAAAGATCTCTGTGTGGAATGTGTGCGTGAGGACTGGCAAGGTGGCTCAGAGGGCAAAGGTGCTTGCCATCAAGCACAAAGACCCAAGTTCTATTTCTGAAATCCACAAGGCAGAAGGAAAAACCCCACGTTCACAGGCAGTCCACTGACCTATATCATCACGGCACACATAAACACACACATGATAAATAATAAATGTGATACCTTGTCGTGTGCTCATGAAATTAAATAGGTAGGTCGTATGGAACTATCTCTAAAGATTTGTCCACTAAGCGATAATGGCCCAGTACTCACTAGGTTGCATACGTGATCTTTCGTGATCAGTGAAAATTAAGCTACACAATAGCATGTGGGTTCCATCAAACCTTCCAAAGAGAGATTATGTCATAGGAACTGCGTGAGCCTGGCACAGAATTTGTGCAAACCACAGTTAGTTAGCGCTCCTTCTCTTATGGCCGGTAGCTTTTGTCATCTTGCCAGTGCATGTTAAGTTGTGACTCAGAACTACATTCTAACCCACTCCAGATTCCAAAGTGAGGACACTCAGACTTTGAGGAACACAGAGGACGCAGCGACCCACAGCCTTTGTCTCCCTACAGCTATTTTCTGAGCTCAGAACCCTGGAGTGGGCAGCTTAGAGAGCAAGGCACCATCACACACAGAAACAGAATGCACAGGCACCCTACCCTGGCAGAGGAAAGGGCGCTGTTTGCAAAGCCCCCTGTGGGGTGGCCCAGGTGAAATGAAAGGGCTCAGGAGACCTTTGGCAGCTACCCTGGAAAAAATGCCTGTGTCTCTGCAAATAAATCCTGCGGGTGTAGAAAGACTGGGTTTGCCTGGTGTTTGTGCAAACAACACCCAGCGCTCACTGGTGTTGGAAACAGCTTAGTGAGAGCGGCCCCAGGTCCCGGCAGCTACAGCAACAGATGTCTTGTACTTGGTGTGACTTTCGGCCTATTGGGAGACGATTCCCCAAAACCAATGTTCTTACTTCCAGTTATTCCCAACTGGAAAGTCTTTGCTGACCATTTAAGGAAGAAAATGTTTCATCCATCTCTCTCCATGGCTGAGCAAGTGACATGGTGATTAGATCAAAGCCTCAAAGCCTGGGGCCGTGTGTATGAGAAGAGGAGTCCAAACCTTCCCAGAAACCCCACGAAGAATGCACGGGCTATCAGTTGAACATGGCCACTGATAGGTGGCCATCAGTGCCACCTGCTGTCCCCTGTCTTCCCTCCACTCGGAATCCAGTCATCCATGCCGTGCGCACCATAGCTACACATACGAAGTATCCTGGTAAGGTAGGTGAATCCGTAAACAAAGAGGAGAGAAATTATAACCTACCAAAAGGGAGGAAATGTTAGCTCTGTGTTACAGTGCTCGACTAGTGCACCAGAGGTCCCAGGTTTGATCCCTGGGAATACACACACACACACACACACACACACACACACACACACAAATTTTTGAAATTTTGATAGAACCAAGGGCCATAGAAGAAATGACCGAAGTTATCCAAGAAACAAATAAACAACTACAAAAAAAAAAAATAAACCAGTATCTACTCATATTCTCCAAAAGCACTTGGTCTCTAAAGATTTATGGTTGAGTGTAGCCAAGTATTTAAAACAATTCATATTACATCTTGCTCATGTGTTCTATGCACAGATGTTCAACTCTCCCTTGCAAAGCTCATGTTCATGAACACAAATGGAAAAGACAAGTAAGTAGAATCATTCCAGCGAGTGTAGAACAAAGAGAGCGCCACAGACAAGTGGACTTCAAGGAAGGCCCGGACTTGTTCCCAGGTAAGGACACAGGAAGAAATGACGGCGGAGATCGGTGTGTCTTGTGGGAACTGCAGGCTCACTCAAGTGCCACCTGCTGTCCCCTGTTTCTGTCACAAAGCAGACTTTGCCCTCTGACATATCAGCTTGCCGCATTGCCTAATTCCGAAGTCACCTTTCACTTCTGTCTTCTTGGAACTTGAAGGCTTAGGACAAAGCCAGGTTCACCTGGAACAAATTCCAGCCTTTCCTTCAATTATTAAACAGAGAAGAAGAAGAAGAAGGAGAAGGAGGAGGAGGAGGAGGAGGAGGAGGAGGAGGAGGAGGAGGAGGAGAAGAAGAAGAAGAAGAAGATAAATCAATCAATCAATCTGGGGCTGGGGTCGGCCAGGCTGACAGAGAGCTTACACAAAGCCCTGGGTTCCAGGCTCAGAAACATTTGTACTGCACCTGTATCGCACTAGCACTTGGGATGTAGAGGTGAGTGAACCAGGACTGCGATACCAGCTGGGGCTATTTGAGAGCCTGTAGCAAACAAAACAAGAAGTCTAGAACAAACAGTATGCCAATTAAGGACAAATAACCCATTCTATACCAAAGCAACCCCAGCATTTTTATTTTTTGAAATGTTGGCTTCTAGTTACAGCCTATTTCTTTAAGTCTGGCAAGGGAAGAGGGAGATGCTAAGTTATGGAGAAATCTGTCCCAAATAGCACTCTTTCCAGGAGACACAATGCGCTTCCCAGAATCCCCACCATGCAGAATAACATTGTGGCAAAAGGAACATAAGAAGTATTCATCTTATTTTATTTTATCTTTAAAATAGAGGCTCCTGTACCCAAGGTTGGCTTCGAACTTGCTAAACAGCTGGGGTTGGCCACGAACTCTGACCTCCTTTCCTCTACCTTCCAAATGCTAGGATAGCAGGGGTGTATGTCTTGGTATGAGACCTGCTTCATGTCTTTTTATCTTTATCACGTGTGTGTATGTGCTTTTGCAGTGGAGGGGGTGAAAGACAGGCATGTGGAGGTCAGAGGACAACCCCATAGGTTCGGTTCTCACCTTCTACCTCCAGGGACCAAACCCATATTTCTAGGTTTGCACTACAAGTCTCTTTACCCACTGAGACATATCACCGGCCCTATCTTTGTTTTTAATTTTAGCAACTATCTTATTAGTGAGATAAGGTCTCATCATTGTAACCCAGGTTGGCTTAGAATTCCCTATCCTGCCTCAGGCTTCCCAGTGTTGGGATAACAGGTGTGTGCCCCCAAACTGACTTACTTGGAGCTACTTTAGTCTGAACTTCCTAAACACAAATGAAGCGGAACAACACACAGCTCAACAACGGTACTCTCCCCTCCGCTCCTCCATCCTCTAGCGTGGATTCCAAAAGTGAAAGAAACCCCAGGGTAGACTTGAAACTCAAATAAGTCAACAGCGGTAAAAAGACCTGAGGGGACACTTTTTCCGTTTGACATAGGTAAATATTTCTAAATAGGTGCAGCATCAGCTTGACAGGGCATGGACTAGATGTCTCTGTCCAACTGTTCTAGGGATCAGCAAGATGAGCTGGAACCACCAATCACAGAAGAGCCTGGTGCAAGCCTCAAAACATGCTGGACTCATCTCTGTGGACGCCTCGTCTGGCGGTCAGTTTTCTGCACAGATCTGCACAGGAGTACATGGGTGCTTAGGTATGCCAGACCTGTATCTGTGCTCCTACTAAAATGTTACTTACTTTCACCCTATAGTTCAAGCCAATCTCTACCTCAAACTCCTTTCTGGGATTTATTTGTGCATTCACATAGTGTGTGCGTGTGCATGTGTGTGTGTGACACGGGTGCACATGAACTTGCCTATAGAAGCCAGAGGACAACCACAGCTGCCATCCTTAGAAGCACCGCCCACTTCCTTTGAGACAGTGTCTCTCATTGGCTCAGAGCTCATCTGTTAAGCTAGTAGACAGCTGGCCAGTGAGCACCAGGGACCCTCCTCCCCTGCCTTCCTAACGACATTATAAGCAACTGCTACTGCACCTGACATATGTACTAGGGCTCTAGGGATCAAACTCAGGTCTTTACCAACTAAGTTTCTCCCTAGCTTCTGACCTGGGACTCTCGTATCCTCCGTGGGTGCTTGCCCTCTCCCTGAGGTGAAGAAGGTCATATTAGCTGGAATGTGAACTCAGGACCCTTTCCTCTGAACACTCGCTGGCTGAGGTGCTTGCCACTTGTTTTGTGCAGCCGTTAGGGGACTTTATGATTTCTGTAATGTTTAGGGTTTTACCAGCAAGCAAAAATGCCACTTCCTAACAGGGAGCATATAAGGAGCCAAAGGGGGGGGGGGGGACACGAACCATTTGCTGTCAGAGAGGAACCGAGCTCCTCCTCCCTGAGATGGAGCCACCCGCCAGTATGTTCAGTGTGTTGCCTCTGCACTTCAGTTCTCAGAGGGAGGGAGATGCCCTCGTAGTTCCTGAGCTATGGGGATAAGCTCAGCCTGCAGCAGGCCTGCCACTGCTTCTAAATAAGGTGTGCTCCTCATCAGATGCCGTGGATTCTTTGAGCTGAGGAATGAGTAGAATGTGCAGTGGGATGTGCCAGGGGTAGCCTGTGCTCAACGGGGAGAAGAAGTCAGAGAGGGAGAGTCGCTCCTCACAGTGAGCAAGGGAAGGCCTGCTGGTCCCATGCACAGTCACGAACCTCAGCGCCACCAGTGGTGCCCGTGGTCTTTGCTTTCCTCAGCTTAACAGACCAAAGGAGCCTCTGTGAGCTCCTGGCAGGAACAGGAAGACACTAAATGAATGAGCTGAGCATGTACCTTGTCCTCCAGCAGTGTGTGTACACACACGTGTGTCAGAAATGGAAGGGACTGTCACACATGTACACACACACACTCGCACTCATTCTTACATATGCATATTATACATTCATACACACATATACACAGACACACACATATACATTCATATACACACAGACACATTAGCACACATGCATACATAGACAACATACATATACATTCATATACTCACGGACACATTAACACACCTGTATACACAGACAACATACATACACATTCATATACACACAGACTCATATGCACATGGCCACACAAATATACATATGTATACATGCATGAACATATACACACAATACTTATATACACACAGACACATGCATATAAACTTACATACACACAGATACACATATATATGCATAAGCACATTCAAGCACATACACATACTTATACACATATGTGCACACACACACACCCCTGCTGCTTTTAGGTTTTTATTTTGATCCATAGAATGATGGGGTTCAAGCACAGATGAGGGAGACGTGTTATACTATGAAGAAAGTTTACTTTGAACAAACCAGAGCTCAAGAGTGATTAAAAAAGAAACAAACTAACAAAATAGATGGTACAAGGCCTGAGGGCATAGTCATGGTTGAACACTTAACACATCCAAGACACTGGGTTCTATCCCCCAAATATATATATACCATATGTACATATGTGTGTGTATGTACATGTGTATGTCTACAATGACACATACATGTTCCTGTGCATTTGGGCAGATGGTCAAACAGGAGAATGGGGGACGGTGACAAAGACAGTGAAACCGAATGTTCACTGTCGGAAACGTGCCCCAGGGAAAGTATGCAAAAGAACATGACTGGAAGACAGGAAATCTCATCACCCATGCCCCCACCTTCCCTGACCTCTCACCCTGAGCCCCAGGAAGGGAAAATCAATGTGTCCCAAAGAGCAGGAGCCCAGGTCTGGGGCTGGAATTTGACCCCCGCAGAGTGTTTGCTGATCCGGAGATGGGATCTGTTCAATGAGCTCATCCTTATCTTGAGAGGAGCCTGGGGAGCTTGGACTAAGGCAAAGCCACGTTTGAGTCAATGAAAATTTGTCAGCCACGTTTGTCCCCACCACGCATCTGATTGCAGAGGGACCATCATCCTGCACGACTTCAAAGACTGTTCCTGAAATGTCAACAGATTGGCAGTTAGAGAAAGCCAAACTTTATCCCCAAATGTCTTCCCCTTCCCTCTCTGTGGCTCTGAAGCCTCTACCCCTCCCACCCTTTGCAAATATTGACCGAGTTCAAGGGCAGTGGTCTAAGGTCTAACTTCAGAGTCAGCACGAGGTGAAATACTTAAGATGGTGCAATCCCTGCTGGTGAAGAACACGCTGAACCCCAAGGCCAGCTACAGGCAATTCCTGTCCCCTGGCCCAGCTGATATTTGTTTTATCAAGTCAGGGGCTATTCTTGTCATCATTGTTAATCTTCCTCTCACCAGATCTGTGCTGGCCGAGGGCATGCACTTGAGGTATGCTAGGAGAATGGAAGGCTGTGTTGTGGGAAAGAATTTTTGCTAATTCTGTCTGCCTACAGCTTCCTCAGCCCTGTTCATCTGATCTTAACTCACTAAGCAAAACTGAAAAAGTCCAGAAAGGGTGGTGACCTGGTTCTAGAACATAGATTTGGGGGAGAGCACAAGACAACAGTATTGTCTGTGGACCACGGGTCCTCTTTCTCTGGGGAACAACTTGATTTGTCCGTGGGTAAAGTCTTGATGGAATATTTTTCCTGCAAGAAGCCCATGGCCATGTGATTCCTTTAGCTCGTGTTTTGGTCTCCCTGTGACACAGCTCTTGTCTGAAGGATTCTTGGGAGACCTAAGGTCTCTGATAGCTTAAGCAGGGAGGAAGGATGAGGTGGCACAGTTGACCCACGCCTGGACTTGCCATAAACAGCTCTGGATCACTCCCACCTCCCTGAGCCTGGGCATCTTTGTGTGTGGAAATAATCGTAGCAATGTTCTCCTTGCAAGACTGTTAGGGGGATTAAACATGGCATTGTATCTGAAAGCATTCGGCACACTGCCTGCTGCTTCAAATGGGATTAATACCTTTTAACCTCCTTCCTTCCGCTCAGCCACTCCAGCTGCTGGCGTATCCCCTTTCTCCGCTGCACACATTTGACACAGTGGAACCACGCCAGTCATACTGGAGGGGCTGCTCTACTCATAAGAGCAAATCAAGGAAAGATGAGGCTCAGTCTGCGCAGAGCGGCAGGGCTGAACCGGACCCATGTGAGCCCCACACTCGCTGGAAAGAACGTAAATCTACACATCACCTTGAGGTTGTGCAGTGCTTCCCAGAGAGAGAAAGACAAGGAACTAAAGCAGGAGAAAGGCAAGAGAGAAGGGCCAAATCTCAAGGCAGGGACTTTGCTTGGTGAGGATTTTGGGGGAAAAAATCTGATAAACGCAGCAACTATCATATACTTCTTTTGAATATACACTTATAGCCATGTTGTCCAATGGACTAGCAGATCCGGATAGGCTGGGTAAAGGAGAGGAGGCGTTCCTCTGACTCATAGACACACTGCTGCGGTCAACTGAGAGTCATGCCCCCAACATGCCTTGGTGAACTATGGAGGACCTCAGGCACCTTCTCCCTTGAGCATCCCGACCAAGCTCCATCCTCTCCTGGAACATGCTCAGCTCTCAAAGGTGCCTCCAAACGGCCTGCTCCCTGACCTTGGGTAAAGGGACTGTGCACAGTGTTGTATTGGGAACTTTCCTGTGGGTACGACAAACTATCAGCACCAAAGTAGCTGAGAAACGAAAGGGTTTCTTTGGCCTTCTGCTTCCAGGGGTATAGGAGCCCATTACCATCATGGTGGGGAAACAGCAAGTGTAGCAGCTGGAGCGGCTGCGGGTTCACATCTTGAACCACAAGCAGGAAGCAGAGAGAATGCACTAGCAATGACATGAGATTTTGACACCTCAAAGCCCATACCAATGATATACTTCCTCCAGTAAGATCACGCCCCCTAAACCTACCCAAATAGTTGTATCAGTTGGGGACCAAGTGTTCAAATGTGTGAGACTACAAGGACATTTCTCACTCAAACTATCATAAATGTAGATGGTCAAAGTCAATGTTCAAAGATGTTGATGGCAGTGGGTACCTGTGGTGGTTTGAAAGAAAATGCCCCCCAAAGGGAGTGACACTATTAGGAGGTGTGACTTTGTTGGAGTAGATAAGGCCTTGTTGGAAGACAGACAGCGGGCGTTGCTAATTGCTAATTGCTCCTACTCCCTGTTCGCAGGTTTCTTCAGCGGGTATCCCAAGACTCTGCCACCCCCACCATCCTGAAATAGCTGGCCTGACAGAAAGATGGGGTAGCCTTTTGAAGACACAGTCACAGCACTAATTAGGGGACAACAGCATGGGGGGCTGGGGCGGGGTCCTCCAGATGGCGGTATGTGCTTTGAATCGGTGTCCAATATAGGGTACTGTTTCTCCCAGAGCTAGGATCCACGGGTCCAGGAATCAAAGGGTAGAAGGACGAACCATTCCACTTTCAATCATCCTAGTGGTCCATGAGGAAAGCTTTGCCTCCTGTTTCCACAACCCTAAAATCTGCTGGCCTAGATATTCTGGTTCCAGAGGGGGTGTGCCCCTTCCAGGAGCCACAACAAGCATCCCATTGAACTGGAAGCTCAGACCTTCCCCTGGTCACTTTGGGTTTCTTAAACCAACAGGCCATGAAAGGAATAGCAATAATTAGGAAAGGGGATAGGTCCGGATTACCAAGGGGAAACTGGATTGCTTCTCCACAATGGGGGTAAGAAGGATTATGTCTAGAGTGAGGAGATCCTTTTAGGTGTCTCTTGGTGCTACTGCACCCTGTGATTGAAGCTAATGGGATCTACAAGAATCTAATCCCAGCAGGCTGTCAAAGGGCACAGACCCATGAGGAATGAAGGTATGGGTCACTCTTCTAGGAAAAGAGCCAAGACCTGCTGAGGTGCTTGCAGGGGTGAGGGGGAGAAAAACAGAATGGGCAGTGGAGGAAGGTGATTCTAAATTCCATATGAGGCCACTTCCTCTTGCCTGGAAGTCAAGATGTAGAACACTGGACGACTTCTCTAGCACCATGTCTGCCTGAACGCCACCATGCTGTACCATGATGATAATGGTGCAAGCCACAATGACCTGAAAATGCAAGCCACCCCAATGAAATGTTTGTCCTTTATAAGAGTTGCCACAGTCATCATGTCGCTTCACAGCAATAGAAACCCTGACTAAGATAGCTTCCATGGCCAATGCAGGGGTTCTCCACGTATCCCAACTGAGGAAGATAAATAAACAATGCAACATTGAGGATGTGTCTATGTTTGGTTTTAGAAAACTGACACACTAACCTTATTTTTAAAACAATGACCAATTCATCTGGTCTGAATCTGGCTTCTATTCTTCCGCCATGGTTCTCTCCAGTGCTGCCACAAGGAGAACACAGAGAAAGGACCCTACAAGATAGTTAACAAATAGTCAAAGATTTAACATGTACTTTTCCCTATGTGCTAGCAATGGATAACTAGAATATACAGTAGAAATGAAATAGGACTCAGACATATAAATATTATGTCCAAAGACCTAAAACCCTGTTGCAAAAGCACAAGGAAGCATTCACAAATACAGGCACAACTGACAACAGTAACCGCCGTGCGCTGTGGTCCTTCAGCGAGCCAGGACGTCCTCTAGGACTTTAGTGTCAACAGTTTCTTTGGTGTCCTCAGAACTGTCACAGGTGGTTAAAATTATACTCTCACTTTCTTTATAATGAGGGAAACTAGGGCACATCAAGGCAAGGTAACTTCTTGAATGGGGAGACTCAGAATGATAAGTATATTTCTTTTCCCTAGTTTATTCAATTGCATTACCTTGAAAATTAATGCAATAAATTTGCTGTATAAATTAATGCAGCCTCAATCGGATTTCATAGAATGGTTCGTGGAACCCTGAAGACCACGTTAAAGTTTACCAAGAAGAGGAAAAGGCTTTCATGGGAAGCCACAGCAAAGCTAGAGGGCATATCAGCTGATGAAATATTAGAATTAAACCACCACAGTTTATTAAAATGATTGCCATTAAAGTTCAGTACAGTTGTCAGACACTTAGAACCTTACAACAGAGGCTGGGATGCAGAGGACACTCAGTAAAAGCACATTTTGATCTCTTTTCCCTATGGTTTTCTCCTAAAGATATACAAACAAAACATGAAGCTGCCATAATTATTAAAATAAAGGCTGAGAAAGAACATTTTAGAAGCAGATTTGAAACCCAGGAAAGGCACAGACAGGCACAGTAACTTAATCAATTCTAACAACTGCTTCCAGGTCAGGGGAAGATGAACCACTTAGCAAGGAATATGAGGTAAATCTGCTCATGAAATGAAGATGATTTCTAGGCTTAGCGGCACATGTCTGGACTCAGAGCTCTGCTGCCTCAGACAAAAGGATTGAGTCTGCAGTTAGCTCAGGCTATACAATGGGATCCTCAAAGAACAAAAACAGTTAACCACAATAAGAAAAATCAATTAAAAATGCAAAGTTAGATCCCTACTGCATGACATATGTAAAAATGAGCTCTTGATAAAATGGTTGAAAATGTGCCAGCACACACACACACACATACATACACACACACATACACACACACACACACACACACACACACACACACACACACACTGCAAGGGAAAGGGCTGCTTGTTTGTCCTAGCCACCTGGCTAGCTTAGTCCCAAAATAACCACACAGAAACTGTATTCATTAAAACACTGCTTGGCCCATTAGCTCTCACTTCTAATTGGCTAACTCTTACATATCAGTTTAACCCATTTCTATTAATCTGTGTATCACCACGTGGCAGTGGCTTACTGGGAAAGATTCGGTACATCTGTCTCTGGCAGCTCCATGTTGTCTCTCTCCTCCTCCACCTTTCTTCCTCCCAGCATTCAGTTCTGTCTCCCCTGCCTACCTAAGTTCTGCCCTATCAACTAGGCCAAGGCAGTTTCTTTATTAACCAATGAAAGCAACACAAAGACAGAAGGACCTCCTATACCACACACTCACCTGGAAAACTGATTTAATGTGAAAACACTTCAAACACAACAAGATCCGGAAGTCATAGACACTAGTAAATTGAAAGACAGTCACTGCCTCAGTTACTGCTTCATGACTGTGGTGAAAAGCAGCTGAAAGAAGAGGGGATTTGCTTTGGCTCCTCATGTGATGATTCCACCCATCGTCATGGGAAAAGGGTGACCCTTGCTGTGGCGGTGGGGGTGTGAGGCAGCTGGTCACACTGCATCCACAATTCAGAAGCAGACAGATGAATAGCAGCATGCCACTGATTTTCCCATCTTCGTTCAGTTCGGGACCCCCATGCCAGGGACTGAGCCATGGACCTTCCCTCCTCAGCTCAGCCACTCTAGAAAAGTCCTCACAGAGATGCTGGGATGTGTGCCTCCCAGGTATTTCTAAATCTGGTCAAGCTGAGGATGAAGATGAGACATTGCAGTTACATAAAGCTGCATCTCAGCAATGACAGCGATGGGAGTGGGGCAGTCAGAGAGGAGCAGGAAGAAGCACACTTCATATGAATACGGACCATTCATTCCCTCTGTCTTTTAACCACCCTGTGGTTGTACATAAAGCTATCTGAAAGTCAGTCAAAGTAGGACCACATGATGGTTAAATGAAGGGGTATGAATGGTCAAAGCAATGACCAAAGCACACTGGGAAGCATGCTTACCTTCACAATCAGAGAAGCACTGGCTACAACACAATGTCACTTTTGGCCAATGAGATTAGAGAAGTAGAAAACATTGTTATCCAGATTTGACCAGGGCATGGGGACATGCCTACTGTAGCTAGATTGTAGACAGTTCTTTCCTTTTTAATGGGAACAAATTGGCAGTGCCTAATTTTTATATATCACAATTATTTTATTTTATTTTTAAAAAAGAGAACAAACTATCTTTTCCATTATACAAACCAATCCAAGTTCTCCCTCCCTTGCCTCCTCAAATTCCCTCCACTTCCCCCCCACCTCCCATCCACTCCACAGAGAGGGTAAGACACATTGCTTTGGGGAAGGTCTAAGGTCCTTGAATATGGAGTAAGGGGGGACACTCATCCATTACTGGTGGGAATAGGAAGGCTGGAAGAGAAAGAGGAAGATGAAGGGAGAAGGGGAGGAGGGAGGAGAACTTAAGGGAACTGGATAGTCGAGATGGAGGAAGGACAGAGATGAGAGCAAGGAAAGAGACATCCTGATTGAGGGAGCCATTATGGGACTAGCAAGAAATCTGGCTCTAGTACAACCACCTTGGAAATCGGTATGGTGGTTTCTCAGAAAATTGGAAACCAATCCAGCAATACCACTCTTGGGCATATACCCCAAAGATGCTCAATCATACTACAAAAGCAATTGTTCAACTTTGTTTATAGTAGCATTATTTGTAATAGCCAGAACCTGGAAACAATCTAAATGTCCTCAACCAAAGAACGGATAAAGAACACATTATGCGACTTCCTTGTTTGGGAGATCAATGGATGGTGTCTGCAGTGAACTGGGCCCTTCTAATAGCAATGAAGAAAGATAGATAAAGCAAATTATTAACTGAAAAACTACCTGGGATAAAGAAAATATGGCACATTTACACATTAGAATACTACTCAGAAGTTAAAAACAAAAATGACATCTTGAAATTTGCATGCAAATGGATGGACCTAGAAAACACCATCTTGAGTGAGCTAACCCAGACCCAAAAAAGATGAATATGGTATGTTCTTACTCATAAGTAGATACTAGCTATAAAGAAAGGATATTGAACCTATAGTTCTAAGAGAAGCTAAGTAACAAGGTGAACCCTAAGGAAAACATTTATAGATCCACCTGGAAAGTCGAAATAGACAAGATTGCCTGACAAAATTGGGAGCACCGGGATGGGGGAAAAGGAAGGGTGGAAGAGGAAGAGGGAGGAGAGAAGCAGAGGGGGGAGGAGAACTTGAGGGAACTGGATAGTCGAGATGGAGGAAGGACAGAGATGAGAGCAAGGAAAGAGACATCCTGACTGAGAGAGCCATTATAGGACTAGCAAGAAACCTGGCTCTAAAGACACTCACAGGAATCCACACGATGACCCCAGCTAAGACCCTAAGCAGTAGAGGAGAGGGGGCCGCCCTGGCCTTGCCCTGTGTTCAGTGCAATTCTACATCTGCTACATGGAAGCATTCAGAAGACACAGACAATATCCAAGAAGCGCCATTCAAACACTGCTTTCAAATGCAGAAATTTGTCCATCAGCAGACAGACAATCAAACACATTATGCGACTTCCTTGTTTGGGAGATCAATGGATGGTGTCTGCAGTGAACTGGGCCCTTCTAATAGCAATGAAGAAAGATAGATAAAGCAAATTATTAACTGAAAAACTACCTGGGAGCAGAATAATGTGGTAAGGCATGTTGTTGATCCCTGAATTCAATCTCCCTGCGCCGACAGTTCTGGTGCTCACAGGTTATGAACAGCGTTTTGTGGGTCTGGGCACCAGTTTCTTCTTAGCAGAACCCAGAACGATGGCAGGCCTTGCAATCGATGCAGTTGAGGGATGAGACATGGCCATCGTGTGACCCCAATGTATTCATTCACACACTAAACAGACTAACTCACCGGGAACTTCTCTGAAGCCTCCCTGTGCCCTGGTGCAGGTGATGGCAGAGGAGAGGCGGAGGCTGAAGAGAAGAACTCTGCCCCTTCCTCCATAGGAGCCACCTGGTCTGGCCATTCTAGGATTTGACTCACTCACTCATACCAAGGCTTATCTACCACATCCACGCAGGTCCCCAGCACTGTCCCTGAAATTAACGGAATGAAGTGTTTCATGTCTACAGTGCAAGGTAGACCACCTCCACATCCCAACTAAGCCCGGACAGAGACAGCAAGATGAAGAGACGTGCCATCTGGGGACTCAGGTGGACAGAGTGCCCAGTAGTAGTGTAGTAGTGTAGGCTGAGGCATCACTCTCTGTGGGGAGGGCTGTCCCTCAGTAGGGCCACCTGTCTTTAGCATCCTCCCATACTGTTAAGAGGAGTCACTGAGAACAGAAACCCAATTGACTAGAGACCCAAAGCTTATCCTATCTTCCTAGATCCCAACTGGTCCTAAGGAGGAGAGGGTCCTTTCTGTCACCATCTATAGCAGGGACTACATATCTGGTTGCATAGTAACCAGAACATACTGGAACATCTGTATAAGATTCAGGCAGCCCAGAAACAC